CGATGTTTTTATTATTATTTAGGTACATGTAAAGTATAAAATTAATATTAAAAATAAACGGACATACTTTGTGAGATTGGTGGACCACTAAAGTATATGTGAAGTTAGAAATGTAGAGGGGAAATTTAATGTTTATCTGTACGCAAAGAATAATCATTACTAAAAAAATCTATTCAGAGAGAGGAGTTTGGTTATGAATATCTGGAAGGTCGTAATATTTACAAATTCAAAACAATACATTTTATAAATTTCCCGTTTTTCCTACGTTTTTCCTAGTTTTTCCCATTTATTATGAAAACCCTTTAAAATTAAAAAAAAAAACTTTCTCTGGCCATTGTTGTAGATGGGTAGTAAGAAAGGTGGAATATATCAAGTTCTTTAATTCATACCTGTAACTAGCGATAAACCATTGATAATGAAAAATTCTTTGTAACAAAGTTCGGTTACACATGTTTTAAAAGACTAATATTTATGGTTTTCGTTGAAATTTGATTTTAAAAGCTTTTAAAAACAAAAAAAAATGCTACGTCAAACTATTTTTTTTTTTTTTGGCGTGAGTACGATTTATTTTGAACCTCTTATTAAATTATCAAGCATTTCTGTCAAGTTTAAAAATGTATTTATAGATTATCTACTAGATAAATATTACGTCAAAACTCGCAAAATTAAAATGTCTATAAATACCTCAAAAAATTGATCAAATGTTTCGAAAATTCTACCACGTCTATAAAAAGCAAATATAAGAATACTGTCAACATTTAAAGTCTTTATGAATATTTTTAACTGAATCACAATAAAAAATCAAAGTTGAAAATTATAAAATAATTATTTTCGTAAATTTTCCCGTTCTTCCAGCATATTTTTCAAATGGTTTTGCTCGATTATTACAAAACTATAGAGAAAATCAAAAAACTACTCTCTTGGTCACCAACTAGATTAAAAATTCAACAAAAAAGGTCTCTTGTCATTTATCTATTGGAAAAATATTTATGGTAAAAATATAAACCGTAAAAATTTAAAATAATGAAATCTTTGTGCCGTAATTTGAAAAAAAAAATCATATATTTCGTCCGTTTTGATTTTTCCCAATTATTATGAAAAATACTTTAGATATCAAAAACCGACTTTTTTTTTTAGTGGCTATTTCTCAAAAGGACATACATTTTCAATTGGAGTAATATTTCTGGTAGAAAACATAAGTTAAACATAATAAACACAAAGAAACCGGTAACGTCGCCGCGTGCCTTAAATATTTGCTGTTTTCCCTATAGTTTTCTTTCGGACTTTCTCCAATTACTTCAAAAACGTATTGAAAAATCAAAAAATTACCTCCTAAGTCATCAACGAAAGAAAATTATTTTTCAGAAAAGGTGCTATAGTCTATACTTCGGAACAAGTTTTCTTGTAGAAATGTTGTTCACAGACACAAGAAAAAAAAATACAAAACACACATTATAGTTAAACCAATAGACCTCTCGCTTTGCTCCAAATCTAAAATAAATAAACATTTTAGTAAAACCAATAAATCTTTCACTACGTTGTGAATCTAAAAAAAATATCATTGCAAAACTAACACATTCCTCGTTCAGCTCAGAATCTAAACTATTATTGTTTGTTTGTCAATATTACTATTGTAAACGATAATGAGACCTATAGTGAAAGTTATTCAACGAATGTACGTATGGTTTACAACACGAATGATGGTTTTTGTTTTTGTTAACTAGCTTCATTTTTTACTTACTTCTAAAAATCGTAAAATAACGCGTTTAGAAATAGTTAATACTTTCCGAGATAACGAGCCATGAGTATACCCACTTAAATGAATAGCCTGGTATTATTATCAGCTATTATAATAAAAACGTCAAAATAAATTGTTACTCCAGGAATATCTCCAAAATATCTCATATTATACTGTTGAAAGACTATTGGCCCTATTTTAATACTAAAAGGCAATTTATTAAATTTTAGTGTACCTAATGGACTTGGAAATGAACAAAGTTTATTAGATGACTCAAATAATTTTACTTGCCAGAACCCATCTTTCAAATCTAACACTGTAATGATTTGTTTATTCAATAGTCCTGGACTAAGTTCATGAAAAGTAGGTATTGGATAATTTTATTCTTTAATAGAGGTATTTAAATGCTGTGGATCTAAACATATTCTAATACTTTTATCGGGTTTTTCAATTATTACTACATTGTTTAATCAATCTGTTGGTTCATCTACATAATACACTATACCTTTACAATTAATTTCATTGATTTTATAATATACTTATCCCTTACAGTTTTTGGAACTCTTCTATATGGTACTATTTTGAGTTCAATAGTGTTTTTTAACTGTATATTATACACATGGTATACATGTTTTTGATTAATCCAAGTTTTTCACAAACACCAAGATCTAATATTGGAATACATTTATGTTGTTTTAATATTAAGAATTCAATTTCATTTGGCATATAATCCTTTATTACACATTTTATTCGACATCTACAGTATGTATCATATACTATATTCTAGAACTTCCATATGATTGATTGATTGATTGAAATAGGTCTGGTTTTGGTTTTAGCCTACAATAATTTTCCAAAATTATTATATTCAAACCCATTTATTAATTATATCCATGTATCCATACATCCATATATTATATTAACACTTCCTAAATCTAATTTGATATATTCAACGGTAGAAATGATGAAAACGTAATCGTACAAAGTTATTTATATTTAGTTATTTTTAAGTTAACTAAGCGAATTTTCATCCATAGAAATTATTGATTTGAAAATGTTTTCATTTTAACGTTTGAAAATAATTAATTTTTTTAGCGCTGTTTTTTTATTGTTAATTGAAAAATCCTCGTAATTACGTTGCCCGTTATACTGATAATTTTCGAAGCATACTGTGTTATAATATTATATTACGCTATTCGCGATCCGTACCGTGTGTCGAATCGATTACTCTAAATCCAATTTTTTTACCGATAGAGTTTTTGATTAGGTTAACTATATTATTATTTTTGTTTATATAGGTAATACAGGTATAATTATAATTATTATTATTTGAGACAGTGACACAAAATGTTTTAATTTAGATTTTGCACAGGCTACGTTGATAATAATATAAAACTAATGTTAACATACGTGTTCACAGACATTTTTAATTTCCGTACATATTAATCGTTCGAATTGATATGCACGTATTTCTCTTTTTTTTTGCACTCTTTTTACGAATTTCTTATCCATGGAATTTTGCTAATTTTTTCCCCTCGTATTATTTCGTTTTCCCCTATTATCTGTATTGTTATAACCATGACCCAAATGAGTACTGTTTTTACAACAATATAACTCGAATTGAGGCGGTTTGTTATAGGCAACTATTGTGGCATGGCTATATAAATAATCATCGTCGTTGGTATCATCGAAGGCGATGTAAACAAAACTTTAATTGGGCCTAACCTAACCTAATATTATACTATAATGGGTTGAACGTTAAAAGAGAAACTGTAAAACATAACGATACTACTCTTTTTTTAGATGAGGAAATTTAGTATATTTTTTATCCTATGTTATGCATGCGGTAGCATATTAATACAAGTTTAGGTTTAGTATGTACGTAAAATTATAATATAATTTATCATTTTATCAGTCCAAATATAGTTACGGAATATCTTTTAGTCCATGATTATACAACTTTTCTGTAATACCTAAGAAGATTCAAGATCACGATCAATGTTAATATTTTAGTTTTTGTTTCATGAAAAGATTTAAAAATCGTCGGACAACGGGACATAATGATAAAAAAAGGAACGTTTTAAACAGGACGTATGATCATCCCACGAGAAAAAAAACATTAAAAAACATAATATTAAAATATCATTTTTTTTCGTATCCTATTTATTATTATTATGATTATACATATCAAAATATTACATTTTAAATTACATTATTTTTTATAGTTTTTTGCAATTTTTATTATTATTATACTTAAGTATATTTATGTAATTTTGGCCGTAAATACATAATGTTTTACTATAATATTAAAAGTGCAAAAAAAAAAAATTATTATACATCTCGTTCCACATTATTAACATACATGGGGCGGTACGAGAACAAAACCGTATATAACACGAGGTAACCATCACAATAGCAATGCAAAAATCTAAATAAAACGATACAATCTATGGAACGGGAACGGACAATATAAATTAATAAATAAATATACGTATAAAAAAAAAAATATCAGCACACGTTTGATGGTCCGGATATCAGACGATTTTTAATCGCCGGGAGATGGGGTAGGAGGCAACCAAGTCTTGATTAACTCATTTAGAATTGACGTACTATTCGAATTATTTAAAACATTTTTTTCGAAAAAAAACAAACAATAATATAACCGACTGCGTTGGTCAAATTTTTTGAAAGCGGTCTGAAAATCCCGTGTAAATGTATTATTATTATAATTATACATTTTAAAGACTTTCATCATTGAGTGAGAAAGACAATTAGTTATATAAATATTTACTTACTCCAAACTCGTCAAAAAAGAATTATTAGAAATTTATCATTTATCCATGGAAAATTCAATATTATTATTCTATTACAATACTGGAAAAATAATAGGTATTGTCTTTATTATTCCTCTCGCAGTCGGAGTAAGCCGCGGAGTCTCTCTCGCTCAATAATGTTTATATACATAACGAAGAACTTAAGTTAAGACCTGTGTGAGCAATAAGCACATAAAGGTGCATTACCTAAAAAAGGGGGAGCGGTGTTAAAGCCAAAATGAAATCACAGTGTATACAATAATTATTATTGAAATGAAAAACGATTTTTCTTTTTACCCCATTTTTTGTTCATGTACAATAATATATTATTACTCTGGGGTGCGATTGGCGATTGCAATTAACGTATTTTCTGTGGTCACGATTGAGGCAATGATGATGATGATGGTAGTGGTAACATCGCCTGCAGATATTTTTGTTGAAGAGGTTATTTAAGCAGCTCCGTGATAGCCATGTGGTTCATACGAAGGATACATTTGTGTCTGTTGGGATTGCATTTGGGGTGACATTCCTGCTATACCAGTCGGCGATCCTGAGTGGCCAGCATAGGCGAGCAAGTGTGCGTTTCTGTCATCTTTATCGGCTGACCAATCGGCGGCCTGGACGATGTGTCCGCTACTTCCGCCGCTCCAGCCACCACCTCCACCTCCACTCCAGCCACCACCTCCGTTTCCTCCGCTCCCCTTGAACTTCTTCAGTAACATTAGTTTGGATATGGTTAGTGAAACGACGGCTAGCATCAGGGCCTTCAGGGCTTTGACGCCAATCATCATCATGGCCAGTGGCCCCATTAGTGACAGTTTAGCGCACATGATGACGCCCATTAGTGACATGAGTTTCTTGAGCTGTTTCATTTTGGGTTTCTTACCCCGGCCTAGAAAACGACAACATTATTTTATCATAGTAATACAACAAACGACAGAAGAATATTTTAAGAGGAAGAGTATAGGTAATTTTACCCTAGTAAAAAAAAAATATGAAAATTGATCAACTCAAAAATATTCAAATTCACTTTTAAATTCTTTTACAAATATAGTCTCACCATCTCATTTTTACATTTTATTGGTATTGTAGTTGAGAAATAATTTAAAATGATTTTCGGTTTTTTAAACCGTTTTACATTTTTATCATAGAGTTACTAAAATTGCATATCATACAGAGAAAATCTTTGGGTATATTGCAGGGTGTTTTTACATTTAACTGCATTAACCTTTATATTTAACCTTATATATTTAAAAGGAAATGAAAAAAAAGCTGATACTGGGGATGAGTTCTGCTACTGTTGTAGGTGGATAGTAGGGAAGGTGGGATATAAGTTTATTTCATTTATATCTGTAAACAGCGATAAACCTTTGCTGACGAAAGATGATTCCGAGCACAGCAGTTCGGTAATATAAAATTTAAAGTGCCGTAATTTTTTTTAACTTAAATTTTTCACGTTTTTTCCAGATTATTATGAAAACTAATTCGAAAATCAAAAAAATGAACTGCATTAGCAAAAACAAGATTAATAGTTCAACACAAAAGGTCTCTTGTCGTTTTTCAATTGGTCTCCAATCAATAAATTGGAGACCTCAACGATAATTTTATCACCATTGACTCTGTCTACTCAGCACTATGGTCAGTCCATGGTGACTCCTAGGTCATTTTCCATTGATATTTCTTTTTAGAACTTTCTTTAAAATACCGCTTGACTTCCATACATGGCTTGTCCACTCGATGTGTTTACTCATGAGGCACGGTATCACCGTGTATTTTGGTAAATTTATTGTAATTCTCCATTAGTTCTTATGTACACTTAATTTTCTAAAATAGGCCCATATATACTTTTAAGCACTCTTCATTCAAAACAAGCCATTTTTTTCTCATCTCTTTTAGTATTCGACCATGTTTCACACACGCATATATTTCAGGTAGGACAATTTACCCAAGTTTTGTTTAGGGCTTCTCAAACTATTTAAGAACATTTTTACACTGGCTGTGAATTTCTCCACCTTATAAAAACAATTCAATATGTTTATTGGAATTACCCATAAAAGCTTTCCACTAGTAGGAGCTATAAGCAACGAGTTTGCTTAACCCGTAACATCATATACTCTCTGAGGTTAAAACATATTTATATGCATAATAATTTTATAACGTATGATGAGAAAACATTTTGAAAACTGAAAGTTATATATTATTTTTAATGGTTTAAAATCAATGTTTTGAGCGGTTTTTGTAATATTTATCGAATCAACATCGGGCATTTAATATTCTAAAGTCATTTTTGTGACAGTCAAATAATTTTATTGAACTAATTATTGTTATAAAAACTGAATTTAGGTGGGTCTAACAGGCTCACACCCAGATTACTTCATAAATTCAAATTTTGAGGGGCTACCACGAAATAAGTACTTTCACTATTCAGTAGTAAGTTTCTTCGTAAATTTAAACATCTTCAGATTAAAACTAATTTTTAAATCTTAAATCTGACCTTAATTATTACCAAATTTTATCGAATCAATAAATAATTATTAGACGTTTATGCGACTCAGTAATATAGAGAGTATTATTAATCGAAGGAAAAGAAAAAGAGTGCGACCGAAATGAATAAATTGTTCACGTAAATTGCGACGATCACGACCGCGAAAATAATAATTGCGCGTGCCATATTGTAAATGACAATTATTTATTGACAATAGAAATATATAGTATATGCATTGTACCCAAAAAATTCAGAGCATCCGGAGCGCTTAAATTACACTGATGTTACATCAAATTACCCGCGTGTCGGCTGCTGCACTCAACGAATTTTTAGCCATTATTATCGCTAGTCTAAACAATAAGGAGACGATACTATCGATGTTGTATAAAGACAACGATATTATTTTACTGTGATCAATGATTCGTGACTGCAGTATATTATATTATTTGGTCAACCAATTGACCCGGAACATTATTTTACACGACGTTTTGGGACGCCACCCCGAGTGGTTTTCACGACATTGAAACTGCGTGAAAATATTCACGAGCTGAAAAGCGTTTTCCATTTTTTTTGTTCCCAAACAAAATAATTACGAAACCAGAGTGGATATGTACATGTTTGACACGTTATTTTATAGAGATGTTTTTCGTTTTGTTAAAATGTCGAAAAATAATAAATGCATCAAACAACGGTCTTTTAGCATTTTTTGATTAAAGCAAGATTGCTGGTATAAAAAAACTTCAAAAAAGCTCAAAAATAAAAAAAAAAAGTGAGCTGATAATGCTGATGGGTGCTTAATTGTTGTAAGTGAGAGGTTGGGAATATAGGATATGTACAGTTATTCAATTTCTACCTGTAATTAAAGATAAATTATTACTAACGAAAAACGATTCTGAGAGAAGTTCGTTTATACATGATTTAAAAGGCTATGGCCATAATATTAATAATAATATTATTTCATAATATTTATGATTTTTTTTTTCAAAATTTAATCTAAAACCCATTATAGAAAAATATTCTACATAATATTTTACTTTTTTTATTTACCACTAAGTACAAGTACAACTTATAATGTACAACTTATAATAAACCTCGTGTTAAGTGTTCCAAACAGTGTTGCAAATATTTTGAAATACCGTAACTCTTAATATGTTTGTTTAAATTTTATATTAAAATTCTTACATAAAAAAAACCGTATACACTCATATTTCCTAACTAAGGTTTCCATTAAGTATAATTGATAATGAACCACGTGTTAAATTTGTGAGAATTTCTGTTTAGTTAAACAATTGTATCCACATAGCTCCTAATACCTACTAAATATGAATTAAACATACAATTTAAAAATGGAAAATGTCTATAAATAGCAAAAATAAAAATAAACTCTTTAATTCATCGACAATATCCAAAATGGAATAAAAGAGCCCTCTTGGTATTTTTCAATTGGAGCAACTTTCTGGTAGAAAAGTAGTTTACTGACAAAAACCAGAAAAAAAACATACATTATAATAAAACCAATTTCTCTCTTCACACAGAATCTTTAAATACAAAAGTATTAAATGTATATAATTCATTGGCAGTAATAATGAAAACGGTAGCACAACGTTTGTCTTTTTGGTTCACACGTGCACACAACACCCAAACTGCACAGACTGGTAATTACTTGTTTCGATAATCGTATATTTGTGTTCAGTCAGTATCTGTTTTGTCTGACAAATCATTGTTGCTGAGAAAAAAAAATCAGCCGATCGGACGGCATGGACACAAATGAGATATGTGTTGGCTTGTCTTTTATTGTTTTTTTTTTTCGGATTTCCACAGTAAAAATACGAAAACCTGTATGACAGAACTACTAAGATTTTAAGATGAACATATGTCTTGTTTCGGTGTAAAAACAATGTTAGTGCCCTGGAGTCGCAGCGGCGCGGTGATTCGTTTTCTGTAGATAATGTAGATAGGTATTGTAATAATAATAATGGTGACCATTTAAACAAAGACTAAATTTGCTCCTTTAGACAGCGGGATTTCGGTTTTGACAATAAAAATTATTATTAATTATTTCGTTTCGTCGATGTACGGAAATAGGCAAATTGTTTGTCTATTATGTACTATGTATTAAAAAAAAGCTTATTTGACTCGGGGTACAACATTTATTAAATAGTTTACCCTATACTACATTTATTTCCAGCAATAATCGAACACAATTTAACGTGACCGAGTAAAGCGAAAACGACGAAATTTTTATAATATTATAGATGTATGTATATTAGTACGTTTTTCGTTTTTTTCGTATACCTAATTCACGATATTTCAGATAAATATTTTTGCATAATATACTGTATAATATAATACATAATTATATTAATACAATACGACGGCCTTATATTGCCTTGCTAACGTCTCGACGATGAACAAACTCTCGAGACTGATATAGTTATCAATACCAGCCAGGGATGGATCTAAGGGGGGGGGGGCTTGAGACCCAGGCCTCCCTCCAGATATATTATTTCTTCTATTTTTTTTTTTTTATTATTCTGATCCTATATTCCAATCACTAGTATGTATGAAAAAATAATATACATAATGTATTATATTATATTTTAATTTTATTTGTGTTGGAAAAAATATTGTTGCCCCCCCCCAGATCTTTGCTGTGGATCCGTGTCTGATACTAATACACTCGATAATATTTTAAGTGCATAATTGTTATTTGTATTATTATATTCTACTGGGCTTCAGCCTACTACTGATTTCCTATTGACGATTAGAACGCGATCGTGAGTTATGCGAAAATAACAGTTGATATCTATTAGAATATTATAAGTAATTATGAGTATTTACTATAGTTTTCATTTTCGAATGTTTTTGACAAGCTACTCTCGATAATAAATCAAATTTATTGAAGAAAATCACTTGTTTTTACAAATTTTTTTAGTTGGAATTTCGTGAATTTTATTAATACAATTAAAGCTAAGAACCGAAAGTCAATAATAATGTCATGTTCGATTAGGACGTTATAAGTTATTATTATATTATTATTATTACCGCCCATGTGGTGACAAAATGTCAGGGACACGAATTTCAAATTATTGTAATTATTTGTATTATGAGACGAGACATGATGATTGATTGTGTCAACAATAAAATATAATGAATTGAATTTCGACACAATTATTTTTAAATAAAGTTTATATTTTTTTTGAAAGAAAAGTCTTTACAAGAAAATAGGTACGGTTGGGTTAGGTACGGGATTATGTACGAACGGAGGAAAAATCAGAAATCGACTTTTTTTGTTAATTTAAATATTCAGTATATATATTAGTATTATTAGTATTATATATTTGTGTGGCCAAATTTGGAATTTATATGCTATTTTTATTACAGTAAATCAACTTTTAAATGTGGGGACGTCACTCCAGCCCCTCTTCTATATATCAATTATTGAAAACTAATATACTATATATACTATATATACTATATTTAGTATGTAGGTATTTGTATGTCCATTCCCAAAATCCCTATTACGTCTCTTCCCGGGCAAAAGTCAATTATAATCTATTTGTCGTGTTGCCGATTTTTCATCGGCTTACAATGTATAAAATACTAGCTGTCCTGGATATACTTTGCTATTGCTAGATTTTACTATTATTATTATTTTTATTATTTCATTTACATTGTGGTGATATGAATTACACATAAAGCAGTTGTTTTCGTCCGTACAAACTTCGATTATTATCTGTTTTTAGGCCTTTTCTACTTACTGCAATACACTCCTATAAACTGAAAGATTAATTTTTTTCAGCAAAACATGCAGATTTTGCGACTTAGAAACACGTGAGCAAGCTACGTAGAGTTGACTATGTGAAAAAAATGGCATGCCTTAATGCTACCTTCAAGGTTTGACCCTGTGATTTATTGATAGTCATTTTTGACTATCAAACTTGATGAAACTTTCAATAGGAATTGCAGACGATCAAAACTAAATTGTTAATTATTGTGTATAATTGCATGGATATGTAGTATATATAGATATTTTATTATTAATTATTTATTACTAGCTGTTTCGTACCACTTTGCTCGTGCAAAGTATTGAACAAAAAAAATTACAAATGACTTCCCGTTTCCGTCTTCAACTATCCCAGCTAGCCGTTATTTCTCAGTAATTTTTTTTAAAGGGTATTTCTTTGTTCCTGACAACTAAATGAATTCATACTAACATTTTTTTTATTTTATCCGTATTACCAAGGTAACTTATAAATCAATAAAAATAATTCGATTTTCGTACCAATTATATCAATCACGCAGTATTTACCATCCTTTAATGGTGAAATACGGAGAAAAATAGTCTATATGTTATTCTTAATCTAGAACTACTACTATTCAAATTTTCAGCTCAATCCGTCCAGTAGTTAGGGCGTAAAAGAGTAAAAAACATTCTTACAAGCTTTCACATTTATAATATTAGTAGGATATAAACTGTTTTCTTTTATCAATGTTTGACCATAATAAATTGTTATCCGTACCAATTTTGTATCTCAACAACTAGTCATTAATACATTGTATTTGATAACAAAAATAATAATAATTTTTCACTGCGTATTTTACGATAGATTTTTGACTATATTTAACCATTTTTGTATCATCAAATAAATAGATTATCGGTTCACGATAAAGTTTTCAATTGTATAACGTCTTGTATACATTATGTGTTTTACTTGTGTATTTAATATGATTGGTTTCTTTTTTTTCGGTGTCGGAAATACTTCTGCCTATCCGGGATTACCGTGAAGTATTGCGTCTGCCACCGTTTATCGGTGTAATAAAACGTTAAAATTAATGGTTGGTGATAATCCTGTTTTCCCTTGCGGTGGGGCGGGTTCACATCATTTTTCTCTACATTTTCACGTATTGGGTGGTGAACAAACCACCACTCCTATAAAGCTAACCTTTGAGCTAACCTAACCTACCTAAAGAAAATTAAATTAAATAATTCAAGTATTATAGAAACATTCTAATAATTATTATTTATTTATTTACCTAATTATTTTTTTACACTCCAAAAAGATGAATTACAAATTTAAGAAGTTTCGGTGTATTTAAAAACAAATATAATTAGTAATAACAATTACTATTATTTATCTATATAAAATACATAAAAGTATCTATAGAATATTATGTATTTTTAAACTTATCATATGTAATTGAATTTATTAATTGAAAAGTAATTTAAGTTGGTTATTTAAATAAGTATTCATAATAAAAGTAGCTTTGTAACTGATATTTTACCGGAAAAGTGGTAGTTGAACACACGTACATAAGTAAAAAGACATCCTAGGATTATAGGGACGGGTACAGCCACTGTTATACCATAAATAATTTAATGTACCTATACCTGTAATCAACAATAAATCAGTGCTTAGGAAAAAACGATTTTGTACGGAGTTTAGTTGATAGTTGATAGAATTTTTAATTTTACATATATTTACATATGGGGAAGGGGCTAGAGAGACGTCTCTCCAGCCCCCTTTTTAAAAGATAATTTACTCTAATAAAAAATGTTATACAAATTCCGGGTTTGGTTATATTAATACATAGGTACTAATTAAATACTAAATATTGAAATGAAAAAGAACGACAGTTTCCAAATTATATGGGGAGGGGGCCTAGCAAGACGTACATGTCGTAACGACTTTTTTTTTTTATTCGTCTCTATAACAAATTTCTTCTAATCTATAATTCTAATTTTTTTCCTAGGTCTTTGTAGTAGATTGATAACGATTTCCGCAGAGTACCCCTTCGTCCTTTCACTCGTCGATCATCATTCTTTATATAGCTGCTATCTGATTCTGTATTAGTTTTCTCCAAATTCACATTGCACGTACAAACCATAATCACAGTCAATGCTCTTACATTCAATTCATTACGGATGACAAGTACCGTAGAAGAAATTAAAGTAATAAATTCACAAATGACCTAAAATGATATGTGGAATTCACCATTTCAGGCGGAGGATGATTTTTCAAATATAATTAACGGAGACTTTAACGCGACTGACTTTTTTTACTATATGTGAAGACAGCAATAATATTATTTTAATTTTGTTTTCGAAATATTTTTCGCCGTCATTGTGATCATATACCAATATGGCCCGTGTTGTATTTTTATGATAGACGCAGATTAGACAAGCCCATAGTATTATTATTTATACTGTTGCAGTAGAGAGACGTAGGTATTGGATTTTGTATTGTTTTTTTTTTTTTTTAATGACGAGCAATGAAATCTCGTACGGATAATATGCGGTCATTGTTTGTTCGAATAGAAAACGTGTTTAACTGAAAATCGACGAATGGACAAAATTGTTTCATTCGAAGATTATCTGATATTAGAAATACGATATCAAAATGTACCTAGTATCAATTCATAAGTGGAAATCTAATTGAACGTGTGTTTGGTTGAAATTCGGCAGTAGTCATGACATCACGGTAAAAATAATCAGTAGATATCGAGTCAAAAAAAGAATTATAATAACTTAATTAATTATTCAGTTATCAATAAATCTAAAACGTAGTGTATTATATATGCATACACATAATGATAAAAAAAAAAAAAAAAAAAAAATGGAATTTGATAAATCATAGAGTAATATCGGATAAACGTGAATATTTAGGTTTTTATTATCGTTTTTGTATTTTCCATTGTAATTTGATAAAATAAAATCGTTGAGATACGAAATTTTTATTGAATATCTATATTTATAAAACTATTTTCTAGACGTGAAAAATGTTTTGAAATATTTTGAAACATTTGAGTTATTTATAAATAAAAAAAGATTTTTAAAATTTTTGAAAACTTGTTTGGTATTATATAGTTAACATTTGGTGGGTTTATATAAATGCTAAAAATGTAAAACTTGATTCATCATATTAAATTGTTCTTTGAGACAAAACACAAAGTTGAGGTTTATATCTAATTTATTTTTATATGCATATTTTAAGTTCAAATTTATAATAAAATGTGTAAAAATAACACAATAATTGTAATTTATATTGTAGTTACTTGAAATTAATAAAATAACAAGAACTCCACCTAATCAGATCCGCCATAATTTCTAAGCCAGTGGACCGGATCTTATCCAGTTTACCTCGTTGATTGCACGTTTGCACTAATTTATTATTCAACTATGCAGCATATTTAAACTAAAAAATTATGAAATTTGTAAAATAACCTAAAAAAAAAGAAGGTTTTTATGATAAACGTAGTTATATATTGCTTGAATATTATTGTATATTAATTTATTTTTAGTCTTTCCCCCTTCCTTATTAAAAAATCCTGAGTACGCCATTGGTGAGGTCTACCCGTTTTCGTTCTACAAATTCGATGAATTTGTTGTCGAAGTTAATTTTGTCATTATATTATTCCGTTTCAACATTTTTTTCGTACGTTTTTTACAATCAACATAATTGGTACATTAATAATCATTAATTATGTATAGTAAATTGTAGTTTAAAATTCGGAACGTAGCAAAGAATATGTTGGTTTTACACTGTTTTTTTTTTTTATATTCTTTTTTTATACTGAGTACAAAATTAATACCAGAAATCTTGTCCTGAAGTATCAAGTGTAGCACTTATTAACGAATACTGTTCTTTACAGTCGTACCTTTAGGCTTTTCGATAACATTTTGATAATATTACAATTGATAATATTAGATTATTGAAATGGTTATAATGTAATTGTGATGTTTCTCCCTTAATATTGTGGGTTTAAATTTATGAGTAAAATCGCGCGGAAGTTTTTTAATTCAGTTTCCGAAGTTTGAGACGTTGAACTATCATGTGACATGCGTTTTTAAGTAAATATTCCAAAACTCAGAAGTTTTTGATGAACGCTAAATCGACTCTAATACTATACAAATATACAATATCAGCATGTTAATAATAACATTAATAATTTCATATTATACTACTGTCAGGTATAAAGTTTCGTTCACTCGTAATCTATCAAATAATATTAAATATCGACGACCGTGACAGATGATCATTTCAGCAGACTAAGCAGTTTAATAATAACTGTATGATATCAGTAATATAAATGTGATGTATAGACGTTTTCTCTGCTAAATTTGTCACTTTTGGAGCTATAATACTTCCTTATTACAATTATTTTGGTCCTAATTATAACATAGGTACTTACAATAAAACGTGATAGGTCATATATTATATTGTCTCCGTCTTGAAACGTACGATATAGCAAATTTGCATTTTGTAAGGACAAATTTGTGCTGTTAGTATTAATATTATAGTGAATTGACCTAGTATCAAACGTTAAGGTAAAGAAATTATCTTTGTAATCATGGAGATTATTTTCAATATTTTAAATGGTATGCGAAATATTAGTATGGAATTATCATAGTTTAAAAATACTTATATCTTATTTAAAAATATTTATATTTTATTTAAAAATTAAAATACTTAAAAGCATCTACATGGCTGCTCAATTATAGTTCTTAGGTACTTAAAACTTTAATAATAGATTTGTGGGTTTGCAAAACATAACAGCTAGAGGCGGAGTGGCCGTTCAGGAAATTGGAACTTTCCAGTTTGCATGGATCGTATTATACCCTAGTAGCCTGATTTTAAATTCGTATACCTATAATATTTCTAACTACTTGAATTAATTAAAAACTTAGTAAAAATGTATGCCAAGACACGTATAATATTTTAATTAAGGTATCTTTGAAAAGGTAATATAAAGAAAAGTGGTTAACAAAAAAAAAAAAAAAAAAATTGAGAAAACATTACATAAAATTAAATAAAGATTAATCATATCCATTTAATAATTATGTATAAATATTTCTTTTAGTTGTTACGATTTATTTTAGATTTCAAGCGGAGTGAAAAATGTATTGATTTTACAATGATGTTCAGATTTTTATGTTTTTCTGTGAACAACTTTTCTACTAGAAATCTTGTTCCAATGTATCAATGTGGCACTTTTTCTAAAAGTAAATTTTATCAGGGTAGTACTTTAGGGAGGCTATTTTTCGATTTTCCCAGCGGTATTCATAAAAATTGGGAAGAAACAGGAAAAGTAACGAAATGTATTATTTATAACTTTAGATTTGGAGCGTGATGATATTGGTTTTACTATATGTGCTGTTTTATTTTTTTGTTTGTCTTCAAACAACTTTTCGAAAAGACATTTTGCTTTGGTATATAGAGTATAGTACCTTTTCTGAAAGTTAATTTTGTTTGTTTGGTGCATTAAACAAGTCATTTTTTGATTTTCTAAGAGGTTTTTTAAATAATTGGGAAAAGCCTGGAAGAAAATTATAGGTAAACTAGTAAAATATTTATGGCATGCCACGTCATGGCGTTATCAATTTTCTGCTGTACAGGTCACAAAGATCAATATTTTGCCTTTTATGCTATTCCCTCGGTCACGGCATTGTCCATATATCCTTCTTAATATTTTCCTTTCAAAAATCATTAGCCTTGACTTATCATTTTTCCTTACAGTCCAACATTGTGCTCTATACAATACAATAGATTATACTAATGTATAACTGAATTTTTAGATTCTTTTAAAATGTTCTTGATACTGGGCTACATATAATATTAAAAATAATTAATATTTCAAGCGAATGACTTTCGTTCAGTTTTAGTGGATTAATAATGTTACGTTACAGGGAGAAAACTTATTATAGGTGTACGCATTTCAAAATCTATCTATTTTCCGTATCTAGTAAGCATGGCTTAATTTTTTAATTATAAAACAATATAATAAAAATATAATGGGAACAGGTGCAGCCACTGGTGTAGGTGGGAAGTTGGGAAGGTAGGATACAGACGGGAATTTTAAATATACATATATAACCTACTCTAAGAAAAAACGATTCGAACTATCAACTAAATTCGTTTTGATGCTTTGTCAACAATATTTTTGCCATATTATAGTAAAATAATTAAATAGGCTCTATATATTTTCTTTAACAATATTTGTTTAATGTTGTACCGATTTTCCCAGTTTTCTTAAGTTTTATCCCGGTTTTCACATTTGCTGAAGAAAACTCTTGGCAAAATCAAAAAATGACCTTCTTAAAGTACCTTTCCAGGCTGATTTTTTCTCAGAAAAGGTGCTGCACTTAGAAACACAAGCAAGTTTTCTGGTTGTTTTACGAACATTGTTACGTTCAATTCAGTTTTCCTAATATAATAAGACAACTTCAAAGAATATCAAAAAATGACTTATCTAATATGCCAATTAGATTAAAAATGCTACAAGAAGGTTACTAAAGTGTCTTAGTTTGGAGCAAGATTTTCGGTAGAAAAAGTTGTTGAAGACAAAAAAAACACATCATAGTAAAACCAATAGGTACATTCCTCGGTTCACTGAAAATCTGAAGCTGTCACCTATACTTACTGCAGTGGAAGAATATTTCTAGACTTTGAATATTATAATAACCGAATTTCCACGAGAAAGTTGATGATTAACAATGTATTATAGGTAAAAAAAAAAAAACGTAATTTATTATTATTACTAAACTATATTATTATTATTTGATAGTGCACGCGCAATCAACAGTATTATAGATATCTATATAGACTGTACAATATGTATTGTGCATAGATAGTCCGAGGTAGTCAGTGAATTAAAATACGCCGGCGTATTTAAAATTATTATTTAATGTCCTTAACCCCTTTGTTCCGGTGACTTAACAGTAATTTTTTTTTCTAGTTCATTGACACATATATACATATATATTATATTATATTTTTAAAATAAAACATTATTTACGCAAGGTAGGTGGTATGAAATATTTATATAGAACTACTGTACAACACAGTCTATATTATATTGAACGGTATCGAAATGCTATAGAATTTTAAGTGAAGAATAATTTCATTGGGTGCCTATAGGTTTTTAAACTCATTAAACGTTTCATAATTGTAGTATACGGCATTAATACATTATTTATTTTTGAAAACGAAACTACAATGCTATTATCTAAACGCCATTATAATGATATTAATAATAATAGGAATAGTGATAGCAGTGATTATTTTTTTAAACACGCTTGTTAACGATTAAGCGGCTACACGACTATCTATATGTTTAGGGGATACATGTCCCATGACTTTTCCATAACTTCTGTAAAAAGTATTCATGTTTTTTTGTTGAATTATCTCCGAAAATAGAGATTATTACATTATTTTGTTTTATAATATTATGTATTTATCTTTTTCCCGTCACTATCGGACACTTCTAATGGTTCCCTGTCTGGATCATATAAACTTGAACTCGAGAATTAGTGTAGCTTTGTTGGTAGATTGAAGTGATAAAAGTTAGGTTTATATATAATATGAATAATTTAAAAAAAAAGTAGCCATCAGTGCCTATACAAGCACTTGTCGCAGTCACATAGATTACGAAATCGTGTTCGAAATGTATTTGTTAGATGCTATGAGTTATTCAAATGAGTCATGATAATTTGAAATTGCACTTTAGTTATATATAGGTTCGTAAAATGGAAGTTTTATGAAATATACACGTTTACCAATATATAATTTATTTACTCACTGGATATTCCATACGTACATATTTGATAATATAATAATTTAAATTCTTACACGTAAAATTCACTGTTAGGTTAGATTTAAAACTTTGAAGGAAATTTCCAATTTTCATGAAAAATCCGAAATAATGAAAATTTTATTTTGAGATCGTTTAAATTTCCATCTTGAATAATTAATTTTACCTACAGTAAGGATCAGAGACGTCAGGTTTTGAAAATGTCATGGGGGGCTCACTATATTATAAACACATGTACAGTTTTACCTAAATCTTAGCAAATATTTTATATTTCTATTTTTCTTAAATTATTCGTTAAAGAATTATTAAAATAAATTTGTTATTTGTTGTTTTATATGTTATAACATAATAATAATAATACCATCATTAAACAAAATCAGAATAATCTACATTTTTTCTCTGCTATCAATATCAAAAAAAAAAAAAAAAGTTTATACGATTTGTTATAAACCAAAAATTAGTATTTTGAGGATGTACATAACAAATATTGATTATATTTTTTTTTTTAAGAACCACGAGGAGCTGGGCTCTATATATTACTAAGTTCTTGGCGGGCTGCCACCCCAGAGCTCTTATATCAAAATTAAACACATATTTTAGATTTCTAATGGTGGGCAGTGGTGGTTAACTATTTTTATCCTTCGAGACGACATACACTGCAATCTACACAGAGTTAAATTTTTACCCGGAAAAGTGTAAAGGGATACCATATTAATTTTTCATAATCATTCAGTGTAGTTTTTCATTATTCAATGAAATAAAATAGTGATAGTGAAATAGCAATGTCAATTTAAATCCTATATTTTCGACAGTTACAATCGGAAAAAAGAGAAAAAAAATAAGCTGGTACTGCTGATGTTTGCGTAGTTGTTGTAGGTGAGAAGTTAGAAATATAATAAAACATAAAGTTGTTTAATTTATATCTGTAAGCAACGATAAATCATTATAAACAAAAGAATTACTACATTAACATCTTTTTATGTTCTCAAGCATTTCTATTTGATAAAACGATCCACATAGAACATATTACCTATCGATTAAACGATAAAAATCTTGCAATACTAAAATGTTTATAAATAGCTCAACACTTGTCGAAATGTTTTTAAAATTTGACCACATCTAGGAAGGAAAAATATAAATTTGTTTACGAAATTTCAAGTCTCTACAAATATTTACAACTGAATTAACTTAATTTACTCGAAAAAATAAAAGCTTTATTTTCGTAAACTTTCCCATTATTTCTACGTTTATTTCCGATTTTTGTCAATTAGAAAACAACACAAAAAATAAAAAAAAACGTTCTAGGATAATAGGAACATGTTCAGCTACTGTTATAGGTAACTTAATGTATATCTGTAAGCAACTATAAACTATTGCAAATGAAGTTTTATAAGTGGTGGTTTTACGGGAGGAGAGAGGTCTAGGGGGTCTGAACCCCCTAGACTCCAGTTTTAGACTTGAAATTAGTTTGTCATTGAAAATCTAAAAAAAAAAAATAATTTGCAAACTAATACGAGTTATAAATCTTTTTTTTAACACGTTATACATACATAACATGGAAAAAATTATATTATGCATGGGGAAAAACTTGAAAAAAATCTGAAAATTTAAGTAATATATTACGGTTTTCTTTTTTGTGGACAACTTTTCTACTCGCAATTTTACTCCGATTTACAAGCATCCGATTAAATGATAGCACTTTTTAGTGCTTATTTTAGTGTAGTCGAGCCTAATTTGCGTATTTGGAATATGAAGATGCGCACTTGTTAATAAATTTGCACTTAATATTTTGTTTTTGATTCTAAATGGTGTCAGAAAGTTTATGGTTTTACAAAGATTTTTTTTTTATCTGTACGTAACTTTTCTACCAGAAATCACCTTGCTCTGATTTTTAAGTGTAGCAATTTTTCTGAAAAGAAATACGACTTGGTAGGTATTTTAGAGAGGTCATTTTTCAAAATTTTTTTTCATTAAATTTAAAATACAGAAAAAAAACGGAGGAAAAACGGGAAAGTATAAGAAATGTAGGTATTAGTTAAAATATATTACATCCTTATTTTTTCCTGTGAACAACTTTTCTACTTTTTCTAATTTTGCTCTCATTTATAATAATAGCAATTTTTGAAGTCCGTTGAGTTAAAAATTAGAACTGCTTTACTTGTTTATTTTATAGCTGCAAAACCCAACTGTGCTGGAGCAATATTCTTAAATTAATAAATCAGTAAAATTTACATGTAGAAACTGAAAATAAATATGTTTTTATTTATTTTATCTTGCCTACTCTTCAAAATTGAGACCCAAACCAGCAATACAGATACCTTAGGTTAAACCAAAAGAACGCTGCGTCATAGACACACTTAAAGCCAAAATACCAAATTGGTTCAATGGGGTTTTTATGAAGCAACAAAAAGAAATTTTGTAAAAGAGCAAATAATAATGAAAAATAATGTTCTTGGATATTAGGTACGAGTGCAGCTACTATTGTGTGTGAGAAGTTGGAAAGGAAGGATATAGACGGGAATTTTATGTATATTTATACTCAGCGATTAACCATTACTAACACAAAAAAGATTCTGAATGAAGTTTAGTTGATAGTGTAGTTGCTTTGTTGAAAATATGATACACTTAAAATCCGGATTAAGATGTCTAGTATAAAAGTTGTCCATAGAAAAAAAGTCTTTGAAAATATAATGGCCTTATTTTGCTACGAATAACTTTTCTACTAGCAAATTTGCTCCGATTTATAATAATAGCATTTCTTCTAAAATTAAATCTGACTGGGAATGTTCTTTAGAGACGTAATTTTTTGATTTTTCTCACTAGTTTTCTCAATAAATGGGAAATTCGGAAAAAACCCTGGGAAAACCGTAAGAAAAACGGGAAAATAGGTACAAAAAGTAACAAATATTTGTAAAGAAAATTTATATTGCCTTTGTAATTATTTTACCATGATATACATACATACATATTGTTGACAAAGCAACTGCACTATCAACTGAACTCCACTCAGAATCGTTTTTTTTATTCACAACAGTTATATATTAAATTACCTGTAACAGTGGCTGCACTCATTTTTTTTTTTTTTATCTTTTTCTTTACCGTTTATGGTTTTGATATGATTAATTCATTATCACTTATATAAGCTTTCACGCACGATCAATGTTTAATTAACTAACTTTTTAGAATTTTGAGGACGTAGTTGATAAGATATTATGGTTATATTTAAAACAAAACAATATTGTTACACAAGTATTTTAAATAGTTTCTGCCGTTCTCGGTTTTTATTTGATGTTTGTGTAGACCATTAACGGACCGGACAGGTATTGATGTTCACTATTAGAAATGAGCCTTTTTTTAATTTGTAAAATCTTTGCAACAGTAAATTATTTGAAATGAAAAACCCATTTGGATAGAGTGGTAGGTATTTATCGTGTTTTTTTTTACCTTTTTGCTAATGTATCTCATGAAATCATAGGAAATTTCCAGTTTTTCTCAATAATATAGAACACTTCACAAGGAAAATCAAAAAAATGATTGCCTTATCAATGCATAAACTAAAATCAAAATGCTAGAAGAAAGTCCCTATATAATTTTTGATTGGAGCAATATTCTGGTAGAAAAATGATTAGCAAATATAAATAATAAAAAAAAAAAAACGGGCATACTTCGCACAATGGGTTGGCCACTGTTGTAAGTTAGTAGTTGGGAAAGTAGATGGGAAATTGAATGTATGTATATGTACGCAAAGATTGATCATTTATAATGATGCCTTAATGATTTGAGTAAAATTGGGTTTTATATGTTTTGAAAGGCCATAATATTTACGATTTGAAAATAATACATTTCGTACATTTTCCAATTTTTCTTACGTTTCTTCCCAGTGTTTTCCATTGATTATAAAAACTCCTGGGAAAATCAAGAAATGACCTTCTTAAAGTACCATCCCAGTCAATTTTCTTTCAGAAAAAGTGATACACTAAAAATCGGCGCAAAACTTTTGGTAGAAAAGTTATTTACAGAAAAAAAAAAAATAAATAATCATCATTGTAAAACCAACATATTATTCACTCTGTTCAGAAATAAATATACATAAGATACTTAGAAAAATTAACACACTCTTTTTGCTACCGAATTGTCTTTAGGAATCTTTCTGACGGAAAATTCATAATAATCTTAATATTAATATTAGCATTCTATTATCTGTTCGTATATTTACAATATTTTAACTATACTTAGCACAATATTTCTGGTTTCTTTCGAACGAAAACTACGAAACTCTCTACAGGTAGATAGCAAACTAGATTGTAATATTTTGTATCAGTGCCATAGATATAGATTTTTCAATGCCAAGGGGAAAAATAATTCACTTTGTTATTTTGATCAAAACTTTGATTATAATTTGCTTTTTAATTTTAAAACGGCTATATTGTCGGCCATTTCTCGCATCTTCTCTCTACTTATTATTACCGAATGTTTTTGAAAAATCTATTGATAGAATAAACTAAAAACCTAACGATATTCAATAAACACTTTGTTTTCTGTACAAGTTCTCCTAACAATTGAGTTACGGTCTATATGACAGCAGCGGCGGAGAATTAGCCACTTCTACTATTCCATTACAAGTACCTTGTTGGTCAAGTTCCAGATCAATATCGTCATCCAGTATCCATGGTAGCGATATCCTCAGGGTGTGCGTATCGAAGTACTCATCGATGGCTGGGCCCAGCGATGTGCTGATCCGCTGCTGTGGCTGCTTGTTGTTGTAGTTCAGATGCAACTTGGACCGGTCCTCGGCGTGACCCACGTACTGTTTTTTGACGATAGTCACGAAGTTGCCGACCACGTTCAGTTTATCCCGTTTCTCTAGCCAGTTGACATACACCAACAACTTGTCATCCAGGCACACGATGGCTAGGTCGAGGACGCAATCTTCAGATGACGGGACGGCCGCCTCGACTGTGCCGCCTCGGGATGACGCCAACAGTGTTGACCAAGACCAGAACATTAAGAACATGGCAGCGGCCGTGGTGGTCACTGCGGGCAACATGGTGATAGTGACAGTGGTTTATGTTTGGCGGACAGTCTGACGTTCAGGAATGTGGTCGAATTCCGTACAATGTTAATCGTGACGCCGACAGTCGACGAAATGAAACTAAATAATAATAAGACGGTGGCGTGGCGACGACAATGATGCCGGGAAATTCGAACGTCGCCATCGCCGCGGGAAATTCATCGGCCCCCTATATCCATGGTGTAGTGTTTTCGCGGTCATCGCAAGGAGCAGGGGTGACCGGATAGGAGTAGGAGGCAGACATAGACTGAGAAATAGAGGAAAAACTAAATAAATACCGTCACTATAACGAATCTGAAAATATATAACGCGAACTGTATGGACGGATATAGACTGTGCAATGGAGGTGGCGACGGAAGAAGAATAATACGAGAAGAAGAAACGGGAAGGAACACAAAGCAAAAAAAAAAATATACAAAAAACAATGTAAAAATATGAGTTAAATGGTCATTTTGTGGTTGCTTAACTAGTTCACACCAGACTCGCGTTTTTATACACGAGCATATGATTTTCACGATAATTATTACACGGATTGGAATAGAAGCGTTCGGTTCAAAAGCGCATAGTCAGTCTCCATCTATAGACGCTGATGATTTTTTACGGAAGCTCTTTACTGTTTATATAAAGTACTTTCGGAAAAAATTCATTTTTTTTTTTTAATGATTTTTTTACTACTTGTCCATAATAATAGGTACGTATTTTGCTAGTTCACCGACACGGGATCCGGCAGTGCCTAGTAAATTTCAATGAAGGGGGATATAGCTATCGTAGAATATTATCCTATACACTTAACCCGAAAATTATTATGTTTATTTATACATTCGTTTATATGCATTAACTTAATCCACGTAGAAAATAACTTTAGGTACCCAGATAGCAAAATCATTATAAAGATATTTTTATAAAATTACATTTGTAATGAGTTAAACTACTATATATTTACCTATATAAATAAACTTTAATAACTATATAAATAAATAATAGTTACATTAATTTAGTTTTAGAAGAATTACACATATACATACATTTTATTAAAATATAGAAAAATAATTTTAAAAAAGGTATGTTCAAACCGATTTTAAAAATAACATATATCAATACAGTTTAGATAATAGTAATAACCAAATAATTTATATTTCTTAACATACCTATGTCTAAAAAATAACTAATTTCTATTGATCTCTTATTAAAATAAATTATTTCTATGTAAAACGACCGATCTGTAATATTTTTTTCAAAGTTTCAAGCATTTTTGTTAAGTCAAACTATTCATCTACAGAGTACCTACCAAATAAAAGTTATGTAAAATATTCGTGTTATTCAAATGTCTATAAATAGTTCAAAAATACTTAAATATTTTTATAATTTTACTACGTCTAGAAAAATAAATAATAATTAAACCTGCACGCTACGTTGTCGTATGTATTAATTAACTTTAATTTTATGGAGTTTCTCAATTATTACGAAAATTACTTTGAATATCGAAAAACGACTTACTTTGAAAGTGGCGAAATTTTATAAGAAATAAAATCGTATTTATTTGAAATCGGAGCAATATTTCTGGTAAAAAACATTGTGTTAACGGTTAACATAATGTTAACAGTTAACCTAATAAAAAACAATGAAAACGGTAACGCCGTGGCGTCTATATTTTAGAGCGAGTTTCCTGGTAGGCACGTTGTTCAAATACATTAAAAAAAAAAAATTTTTAAATAAATTCACACACATCATTGTAATATCAATAAATCCCTTGCTACGTTCCGAATCTAACAAAATCGACACCTTAAAAGAAAACAAAACAACAGCTAAATACTGGTACTATATTTTCATCCGTTTCTATCTATTCAATCTCATAATGAAACCAATCAACTTTCCTCTGAATAAATATCACTCCTTCAAAATAATCATAATGTAACAATTGTCAATACCTAATTCCAACAAAGCTACCAAACTATAACTATATACACTCTAAACATCTCTCCTATTAAAATAAATTATTTGTATGTATTCTATGTAAAACGACCATTTTGTAAATTTTGTTTTTACGTATTTCTTCATTAAATTTGTTAATTCAGTCGCGTTTTACTTTTTGACCGTGATATACCTGATGATGAATTTTTAATTCGAGAACGGTCGTATAATACTTCAGCCGATGCATTGATTTATTTATTTATTTTATTTTTGTACACATTTTTTATTTATATATTTATTTACTTTATTTAATTAAGAATTATTTAACATAACATATAATATTCCCATAATATCAGAACTTCAAAAGGCTAAAATTTCGAAACTTAGTCAGTCTGCTTAATTATGACTTTATCATCGTTCTTAATTCAGCAATATAAATATTTAAAAAAAAAAAAAAAACTGAATATACATAATAGTTTTTCTCAAACAAATGATCTCAAAATTTGATATTAAATTTTCATTATAAAAAAAAACAATGCATTAAACTAATTTGTTTTTTACTACAAAGTAAGACTCTTAGTGAACCTCTTGTTAAATTTTAAAGCGTTACTGTTCAAATCTAACAATTTCACCACAGAATATCTACCAAATAAATATTACATAAAAAAATCTTAAAATTAAAATATCTATAAATACCTCAAAAATGGTTTAAATTTTTTGAAAATTTTGCCACGTCTAGAAAAGACAAATATTTATGAGTTTTCTTTCTTAATTTAAAGTCTGCTACGAATATTTTTAACTAAATTGCAATAAACGACAAAATTGAAAAATAATATGGATGTGCCCCCCTGTTTTTTGTTTATTGGTTATTTTTGTGTACTTCATCGTTCAACAAAATATAGTAAATAAAAATAATGTGCACCCATAAAAAATAACGAAATTGGCTACGGTACTGTATAATATAATTTAATAACCAAATACAATAATAATACAAATTTAATTGAACTCACAAATGAAACTCACATTAAAACTCACAAACATATTTTAGGAGGGGGTCACAACCCCCGACCATCTACCACCTATTTGCGTTACTGCATCACAATAATTTTATTATTAAATTACAGAATAAGTACGCATAGTTATTGTATTTTAGACCAACGAGGGGGATGATATAACCTTTAACCTCCATCCCCTGAACACCTCACTGGAAACAGATAAAGGTAGTAAAAAAATTAAAATAAAATGCACAAATAACATTTTGACGATAAACGTTTTCAAATCACATTCATCCAGTTTTTTTTTTCCATTTTTTACCACATTAGTATATCATCTCGCATTAAATATCGTTTCAAGTGGAAGAGAAATTTTCAAGACTTAATTATGTTTATTTTCGTTTGAAAAACTTTTATTTTCTGAGTTTTTTCACTGAATGCCCTCTCCACTCTTCTTATATTATTGATTATAGTAGTATTATAATAAAGTTATAATAATGTTTATTGTACAATAATCACAGATTGTACATTTTATTTTGAATAATAGTAATAACAATAAAAAAAAAAAAACATTTTTATTGAATAATCTTTTTTTGACCTAAGTGTAGTTGCTTTTTTTTAACACAAGTTCAACTTGACTAAATTAACTGCAATTTGACCGTATTGAAATGGATAACGAGCAGTCTAAATTATAATATTAATATAATAATTATCATAATTTATAGTTGTGAATTACAAACCTAATCGTGTGATAATATTAAAATTACACGATAAATAAGTAGGATTATGACGTCAACGACCGTACCGAATATACCGCGAGAAAACTCGGTTTCCATAGCATCACTCGTCCCAGAACACATCGTAAATAATATAATTTGTTGTAATAATATTTTATACGGACGTGGCTTTAGTTCGACCACATCATGGCCGCGGTCAATTACGTATTAGATGTATAACTAGGTAGCGATTTATTCAAAATGCATATCATTTTATTATCATACATATATAATATAAATATTTACTCATCTTTAGACTGTCATCTTCACTATCTCCCAGTGAATTAAATACTATTTCGTTATCTGAAAATCATTACAGCCAATCTTGGTTTTTCTAAATTTTCGGGAAGAACAAAAACTGGTCATGATGTTATTAATAATATTAAATGACTATAGATAGGAAATTATGACTATTTATTTTTTACAGCAGCGAATTGGTCAGTAGAACTACGAAACTTTAAAATAACAAGCATTTCAAAAACATGGATCTGCTATTGAATTGTATTAATTTGTAATTAAAAATAAATAAAACATTTTTAAACGAATTTTATCATAAATTTGAATCCTTATTAACAAAAAAAAAAAAACACTTTATATAGGCTCACTTTTTTATATCATAAAATAAAACCTATAAAGAACCTTATTATATCAAATATTCGATCTTTTTTGAAAAGACAAAAATTGTATTCACATAAACCTAAAAATACTCGATAATTTAAAATATTTATAAATAATACTTAAACAGGATAGCGTATTTGAATACAAGATACAATGTTTTATTGTTAATAATCTTAAAATGGGTAGAAAAATAAAAATACGTCTAAGAAATTATAGGAGATTATCAATGTGGATTTAGGAAAAAAAGAACAACCACAGACCATAATATTTTTGTAGTTAAAAAATTGATGAAAACACACCATAAAAATATATACAAATAATTTACACATGGTATTTGTAGATTAACAAACAGGCGTACAGTAGTGTGAACAGAGAAAATTTATGAGAGGCGATCAAAACATTTTGTGTCCTAATGAAAATAATCAAAATGATAAATCTATGCAACAGCAAAACCTATGAAAAGTGAATATTGGGAATGAAGTATCTATGGCTTTTGAAAACCTAGAATTTCTAGAATTAGAAGATGAGATTCGAGAAATGTCAAACGAGTAAAATGGGAATTGGATAGAAGACTACTGCTAGCATACACACATGACATATGTGACGTTTCGGCGTTTTTAGGGGCTTATTGCGCATCTACAGAATAAGGAGATAACTCGTTTAAAGACATAAGAGCCGT